AAGCTTGTTACGAGCGGCCCCGACAACTGTTCGAACAGCGTGACAGCCATGGTGTCCCACCGGTCCACCGGATAAGGGACCGGCCGCGGCGATGCAACTGGCAGAGACCATAGTCCCATCCCCGAAGGCTGAAACATCAGATACGATCTTCGCGTACCATCTTGCACCGTTGTCCCTAAACTTGCCACCGGAGATCTCAGTTCCGACCTGGGACTCCACCCCCACTTTCCTAATATCCTTGGCACACCCCTTTTTCACACTTCCGGGCCCCTATCCCACTCCGATCAGGAAGTCGCGCTGGGCGTGAGATTTGGACGTCACAGTGCGGCGAGACTACAAGCATAGATCCTGGTTACCCCTTGAGACCTGCGGCAGACTTCCCGGACATGTTTCCCCTGCACCCTATGCGTGTTCTAGAAGCTCAGTAGAACCTTAGTCACTCCGAGGAGGTTCAGCACATAGGCCGTGAGAAAGGATGGGATAGGGACCAAGGAAGAGCCAGCGCTGACCTTCAAAGCAGAAGTCATGCATTTTTCAAGAGGAGGAGATAGGTGGTGGGACAAGCCCATCAGGCAATAGAGGGGCCATTTTGAGGGCACCTGTGAAGGAGTTGGAGTTGCTTCCAAAGTTCCCACCCCTTTTCAGTTCAACATGTTCTTCATATAATGAACCTTGAAAGCGTCTGGAAAATCAAGCCTGACATTGGGTCAAATTCTTAGACGGTAAGTGTTGCTTCGATGGGATTCTGTCACGCTGGACCTGTTTTCCCACTCAGTCGGAGCTCAGTCTGGGTAATGGCCCCAACCGACCCCGGCCTCTTCCTATATCCTATAGGAAGAGGCCGCACAAAGGAGAAACAGAAAGCAATCAAAAAGAAGAAGATCAGAAAACCAGCAACCATGTTGCCCCCCCCCCCAACAGCGGTAGTCAGAGATGGGGTGGGCCCACCGGTGCTTGCAGGGGTCCCCTCTATATAGTCTTCGGAGTAGCGTTAGGAAGGTAGTGAAACACCCATCAAGCCTGGAAGATAATGCAAAATAGGCTAATGCATGAACAAGACGAAGCCAAAAGGACTCAATTACTGAATACCCATCAAGCCTGGAAGATGATGCAAAATAGGCTAATGCATGAACAAGACGAAGCCAAAAGGACTCAATTACTGAATAGGTTTTCTGAAACATGGTTGGACCCGCACAACAGAATGTGTAGTTTAGATGAACGACAGAAGTTGCTCTGGCATCCATGGCCTATGTCGGAAGACCAGTGGGAATTCATGCCAGAGACAAACTTTCAAATACACTATCGTCCGACCAACTTCACCATGATCCAAAGGGAGCCCCAGGGACTGCCCCATGGACAGCTGTTGTCCATAGTCTGACCTGCCAATGCCCATGTACAGATCTGCTACGAGATGCCTGTTCCCTAAGTCCTCCATATCCCTTCCACCTCTAACCCGAACCTGAACTTCAGACTATCCACTGCTTCTACCTCCCATCCCTACACCTGTCTCTTATACACATCTAGATGTGTATAAGAGACTATTCATGAAGAACTCACAAAAAGTTCCCGAGATTACTCC